CTGGCTACATTGTGATGAAATTTTGTAGGGCGGTCATGAATGCCATCTGGGGACACACCCCTGTACTGATGATGGCCGAAACCAGTCTGTAGGTAGTCACAACTCAGTATAGGCAGGAAACACGTCTATACGAATCGTTGCATAAATTTCGAGAGGGTGTAATTTAATTGTTCTGGCGTAGCATATAGCCAGAAAAGTAGTTGTTGTTCTCTCGTTATCTATACCAGTTTCGTTCATCTATGAACTTTTGTTGTAATGACTTTGAGCTTTGCATATTTATTCGACATTTCATTCCACTTTGAACATTTTGGCTTTTACGTAGTTGACTAACATCATCGATGACTATTTTTTTATTTATTATGCATTCCACACTGTTCTGGGACTCACTTTGTGAAAGCATCATTTGAATTATTAACGAGATCGAACCGTCAGAGTATCGAATGAATTTCATTCGTTTTGGTATAGGGTGTGTTGATATAAACCACATGGCATAGAACGGAATCAGAAACGGAAGGCTGAATTTATACACATTCACGAAGCACCCCATTCCAGTCTAGCCGGGTCAGAGTACTCTGGATGCAAGGTACAGGGGTGGAACTCTTGAAAATAAACAGGGATAATCCCAAACGGAATATTAGGCACAGGCAGTGTCATATTGTTACGTCGATAGAATCAACAAGGATTTTTTTTTTCGCCGAGGTGGTTGAAATCTTTTTCAGACATCATATGGGTCCAATCCCCCATATGATAGTGTGGAAGTCCCCTCCATGGTATACCCACTAAACACTCCACCCCGTTGTAGGCTCCGACGACACTTAGGCCTAGTGGCCCATATTGTATCTCACCTACATGTCGTTATCAATTTTACCACATACGACTCATGGTGCCTATTGAGGGCCACTTCAATATGAAAGACCCTTCTCGTTCAGGTCCCTGAATATTGCTATTCCGATCCCTGTTCTCGTCTACGAAGAAAGCCAAAAGCTTTCCTTCTACTACGAGTGACGGGGGAAGGGGTTGGTCCAGCCCTGTGGTGCCCCCTGCACAGGGCTAAGGCTGTTTACTCTGGGATGTCGCCCTGTTTCCCAGAGGCCTAGTTAGCTACACCATTCCTCGGTGCCATCCATTCATCGCCACGGGTTCCCACAGCATGGATTAGGTTGCCAGAGCCTCGTTGACCAGTCCTCGACCACCTAGACAGACATCAGCAAATCGCCCCATCCCTGCCACAGATGTCCACAAATTGTCCCATCTGGCAGAAGATAGCAAAGATGGTCCCAAAATGCTTCATCCGTCAAGCGGCCGCGGCCTGCCTTCCCCACACCACTTGATGGTGAGGTTGGGCTTGAAGAGGAAGAGGAAAAGAGAAGTTGGAAAAGAAAGGCCGATAGAAAGATTGAAAACGAAAGAGAGAAGAGGACATCACCCAAGACAACAAGGATTACTTAGTCAAAATATAATAGACCAGTGGACTATTCATTTATTTTTAAATAGAATCATATTTATCGCAAATAAACACTGACGTCACGATTTCGTGAGTAATGGTAGACCATAACACAGTTGCCATGTTGAAATACGAATGGGAACTCCAGAAATATTATTGTTCTGCAACCGACACACAAATTCTCCATTTTGATACCAAAATTAGCTCTTGAATTGACGTTTCTATTACTGACACAATCATAGGTAGGTTGCTAGGCAACACTTTTAGTTCCTAGGAGCTGGGGTTGAACTTTAGCTCCTAGGAACTAAAAAGGATATACTGAGTCATCAAGAATAAACAACATTGTTATTAATGGTTGGTTATTAGGGTTGTCACGCATACCTGATTTGTTCCCGATTTCGGCAGATTTGCCGCTGGAGATATGAATGCGTTTTTATATTGATGGGATAACTTGTTTTTGAATAATCACGGCTAGCAATACTTTTTTGTCTCACTCAACGAAATTGTTTATCTTAGTTTGATTACCAAGCCAAACACAGTGGAATATGGATAAAATAAGTAATCGCTATTATTATATATTGTTAATATGCTCACTAACCTAACATTTTCCACTTCTTTTTCCTATGTTTTCACCACACGGAATATTCGTTGCAATGCATACATATGGCACGGCATCCACGTTCCGGGTATAGCATTGAATTCGTGCCTGTAGTTTCTGATGATGCATGTCAACATAAATTGTAAAAAAGTAAAGACATCGTCTACCAATAATCTAATGTAAAGTAGTATGAGGTCTTGCTTCTATCTACATTCCTATATTATTATGATAAAGGTATCATAATAATCTGTCAGGTAAGTCACATTGGTGGTTACTTCACATATTTATTTTAGTTAAGAGCAGAAAATTTTCTTCTATGAAAGGAGTTATGAATTTTAAGTTTCGTAGCTCAGCCGGAGATTATTCCGCAAGATTTGCTATTGCGTTCCAATTAACAGAGCTGCACCTAAGGTAGCGTATGGAGTCAGTAATAGAGCCTACACAGATCACACATTGCCTCTCGCACGGTCAATGACCAGAGGTATAGGGGTATACGGCCACCCTTTTCTGGAATTTGGTATAGTTATATAAACAACTATTGCAGATTTGATCATATTACAACCCAATATGGTGGACTTCCGGTTTTTCTGGAAAAGCCAGCATCTTTGTTTTTTCAAATGGAACACCCTGCATATTTTCACATATTCTCACAGGTCAAAACAAGTGCAATATTCTGTATGTCAAATGTCAATTTTTCGAAAAAAAAATTAATTCAAATTGTTTTTTTATTTTACCTCCTGTATAAATGAGATGTGGTGAAAGCTATTCACAATGAGTCGCACATAACAGAGAAACATAGTTTTTTCTGAAAAAATATTTGATGTGTCACTTATCGATAAATCGATTCAGTCATATTTGAATTCATTGAAATAATAAAAGAAGCTCTACAAATTTTTGATTCATGTCTACGTTTTTTGGGATACTTAGTTGAATTTGAAGGGTTGCAAGAAGGCTAAAACTTGTCAGGATCTTCAGAGGCTGTGGATATAGTATGGCTTCCAATAATCTTAATATAATACACATTAGCACATTACAGCGTTTATTTTGATGGGGTGGGGGGGGGTGTCAAAATTCTGGACTGTATCTTTGTTAGGAATAATTTTTAACCAAATTTTTTTTCATGAAAGTTAACTTTATTCCGTTGTACTATCGCCTATCACAATGAGTGACTTTGAACATGGACCACCATGTATATATACGCGTTCGTTTATTATTCATGGCATGCCGAGATCATTATTGACCGACCGATTCGAGAGGGCAAGGGTTGTTTCGACTAATCCGGCTCTTGCCCTTCTGATGTTGCACCCTCGAAAATAGAGAATGCTGAAAGGGCAATAACATTTTGAAAAATTAACTCACAGTGATACCTCGCTTCATCCCAGACAGCGTCGGAATTTCTGGAATATTGCCTGAACAGTGGCGTATCCAGGAGGTAAAGGAGGTAATTAGCTCGGAATAGGAGAAAACACAATTATATTATGTAGGAGGAAAGCAATTGTGTGAAATGGATTGAAAGAATCTTAAAAAGCAAGACCAATTAATTCTCCACCTTGTTTCCTCTTTAGCAAATGTTTTTTCCTCAATATACAGGGTGTTTCAAAAAAACCTAACCCCTTTGCTAGGGTAGGTAGAACATTGCAAAATAAGTTGAGTTTGCTCAATGAAAAAAATGTCGTAACGGCATCCGGTTTCATGATACAAGGTGTTGAAAAAATTATTTTTTTACACATTTTTCACGATTATTCCGGAACTACTGGCACCATTGTACTGAAATTTTGTATGGATGTTCCTTGAAATCTGACAGACTGACAGATCGCATGAATTTGTTTTTATATATCTGACTCTCATAGAGGACGCTAGTTAGACGGTTCGTACCGAGTAGTTTTGAACATAACTTTTTTGAAGTTGAATTTTTCAATCCAAATATGACATTTACTTGAACATCATTCAATTTCACACCAAAAAGGTACTCCTGGTAAAACTCGATACTATGTTCCGTTTTCGGAATATTTCTATTTGAAAATAATGGAGTTGTTATGATGCTGTTATAAAATTAATTTTATTGAGTTCAAATACCTATTTATTCAGGTTCAAAAACAATGAAATAATTCTTGTGATGAAGTTATTGAAGAAACAAAGGATCATAAGTAGAAAATTAAGAGATATTTGACTAGAAACATGAAATATTGAATCAGTTAGAGTAAGTGTTCAAAATGTCCTACGTTTCGAGGAATACACGATTCTATATTGTTTTTTGAAGGATGTATTATTCCTCTGAACAGGTGAGGATCAGCTGTTAGGTCATTTAAGTGATGTTCAATTATGTCACACAACCCTTGACGTGAATTTACCTATGTAGCATAGACTTTCTGCTCAAGATACAACAAAACTGTGTAATAATCCATGTTCTTAGTCAAATCTGTTTCCATGTTATTCTTGTGATTCATTGTTGAATCAACGAGTTTTGCATCAGAAGTGTATTGTTGTTTTCGGTTTTCGATGAATAGGTGTTAATTTTTCATAATACTCACTCTAATACATAGTTTTATACCAGCAACAGTTACCACTTCATCATTTGCAAATCGACATATTCCGAATGATGTTCAAGTTCACATCAAATTTGGATTGAAACATCTAACCTCAAAAAAGTTATGTTCAAAACTACTCGGTACGAACCGTTTAAGTAGCGCCCTCTAGGAGTCAGATATTCCAAGAAACATCCATACAAAATTTCATCACAATGTTGCCAGTAGTTTCAACATAATCGTAAAAAATGTGTAAAAAAAATATTGTTTCAACACCTTGTATCTTGAAAACGGATGGCGTTACGACATTTTTTCACTGAGCAAACCCAACTTATTTTGCAATGTTTTACCAAGGGGGTTAGATTTTTGAAACACCCTGTATAAGTAGAAATCTGACATTTCTACTACTTTGATAATGAAAGTTGATACTCACTGAAATCTATCAGTAGTCTTCCATATCCTTGCCTCTGATATGGGGGTAGGGTCAATATACAGGACACGTTGTAATTCAAAAACGAATTCTTTTCCTGCAACGAAAAATAATTGAATTTATTATGATTATTCCGAACATAGTTCACCAGCCCAAAAAACCATTGGAGATTATTTTTCGGAAATACGTGATCCATGTCCATAGACATAGAATAAGAATGAAGATTCATTTTCTTCAAATATTTCATGATACATGTTTGACACACTCTACATATTGAGAACTATATATTCTCGGTCCAGGAACGTGTAGTTTTCATTAAAACAAAGTGTGTCAAACATGTATTATAAAATATTCGAAGAAAATGAATCTTCATTCTCATTCTATGTCTATGGACATGGATCACACATTTATTTTAACCCCTGTTTTTGAAGGAATGTTTTGCACACATTTATATCATAAATAGGCATTAATTTTTCTCCACGGAAACGAAGCAAAATATCAAGACAGTTGTATTTTTAGTTGATCTATATTCTATAGGATATGAAGATATAGATTTCAAGGAAATCAGTTGCGCACATTTTATTGAAAATAATATTCGGTAGGGTGCCCCAGGGACGCCACTGGATTTCACAATTCCAATTCAATGAATAAATCAGCCCCTCATGACAAAAATATCATTGCCAAATTTAAAGACATTTGAGATATTCATGAAAAACCGATTTTATTTTGAAAGTTCTACACACTGTATCTTGAAAACTATGCATTTCCGAACCCACGTATTTCCACCCTGTATGTATATTCGTTGAGATTAGACGGAAGGAATAAGCATAATGGATTATATAGAATACAGTGAATGAGCAATCAACTGAAGATCAGGACTCGGTCGAATCTCAATTGATACTGAAAAAGTGTGCTTTTTGGTTTCTCAATTCCACCCTTTTCTGATGCAAATGGCTTCAGTTAAGTTTACGTTTCCCCAGCAGATAAGGTGGATTGTTTCATATCATCGTCATTTCCTTTGGTAAGACCACTTCACTAAGCCTGAGTCTATGAATACAGAAACTGAAAGTTCGCCAGTGGCGTATCAGCACTAAATTCACGTAACAATAATTCATGAAAAATACGAATATTGACTTCGTTATTCATGAATGAATACTAAAAAATACAGAAATGCTTTCTTGCATTGCAGATCGTACTATACTCAACCTGACGTGAACTGCGCTATGACTGCAATGAGTATTTTGTCGACCTAACACCCTAGAAAACCTGTCGTTTTCTCACTATTTCTTCAAAAAATCTATCGTCGATACTACAATCATCATTTCTTACGATTATAAAACGAAACTATTATTTCTCAACTGTTTTCGATAAAACAATGAGGTACATTAAATACTGTCTGTAGGTTAATCGAGGAGGTGGTATATTCATTTTACTTTTATAGAAACGAGAGGAGAAAATCCCAAATAATCAAGTAAAATGAATGAGGTACATTGTATGTCTTCAATGGGCGTGTACACCTTAGTAGAACTTTTAACTCAAACCATGTTTATAATGATCCTTTTATACATAAATAATGATTGACAACATAATTTGATCGAAAAATTAACTGGAATGTTTTATTTCTGGACATAAATAATAGTACCTTCTGAAAACGGACCCTGCTCTTATGACGTAGAAACCTCATCTCGCCATAGTTGAAAGAAAATACCAAACGCCCGACGGAGAGTGAAACAACTGATATTAATTCTTTTAACTGTGATATCGTGCTAATTCACTCTGTCAGAAATCATGTATCATTCATCTCTGTCTGGAATAGTCTTGTTTCAGTATTAGGGTTTTGACGTCACATCATCGCCTCGTTTTCAGAGGTCCGAAAAATCGGGGATTTCAATAATTTTTTATTAAACGTAGGGAGCTCACAGCAAGAAACGGTTTGCGGTGGTGAGCTAGTTTGGGTGAGTTCTATCGAATTATGAAATAAATTTTTTTTGTGATATAAGCCCATTTCATTTCTTTACCTGATCACTATGACTTCATGGTATTATTAGGTATTTCACAAGCAATGACAGCTCTGCCTAATAGATCATTACTTACATTACATTTCAAACCGGAGAACTAAAAAATTTCATTATCTGTTCGGTGTCACAGCCGTAGAAAAAGTATAATGAATAACTAGCACGGAATGCTAATTTCCCATTCGTATGATTTGCTAACTTCATTCTCGTAGGAAATTCCGTGTCATTCCGTGCTCGTTAAACAATATACTAAATTCCACATGTATGTACAGGGTGAGCCCCTTAAAATGGAACCCTTCCTTAACTGTTATGTTTTCAGAGATGTGGAAAGATGTTGCATCAAAAAGTTGTTTGAAACGACCCAAACTTTTATTTCGTGAAGTTGCTTTATATACAGGGTCATTCGTTTTCCCGGAAAGGACATTAACTTTGATTTATTCAATGGAACACCCTATATATTTTCTGACATGTGGATATAGCTTTTTTTTTCTGATTCCAAATATATACATGAGTTGCATATTTGGATGAAAAATAATAGAGTTATTGATTATCAAAGTTTACCAAAATACCAAATCTTCCATTCAAACTGTCTATTCATATTTATTTGTATTGAGATTGAACGATTTCAATTTCATAATAAACAAAGCAATGACATTCCCATGGAGCTTGAACAATAAATAAACTTTATTTATTTTTATATTCAATTCACATTAGATGATATGAAATGAAGGTTCTAATGCGGTATTTTGGTAAATTTTGATCATCAATAACTCCACTATTTTCTATCCAAATATGCAACTCCTATATTTTTTCAAGCATAAAAAAGGCTTTATCGACATGTCGTAAAATAATAGGGTGTTCCATTGAAAAAATCAAAGTTGATATCATTTCTGGGAAATCTAATGACCCTGTATATGAATCAACTTCACGAAATAAAAGTTGGATCGTTTGACACAACTTTCTCATTTAACATTTTTTTTTTCATATCTCTGAAAACAAAAGAGTAGAAGGGGGGATTCCATTTTAAGAGGCGATCCCTGTATACCTACTACTTGATTGTTAGTTTTTTGTTCATTTGAATCATCAAAAAGCCTAATATAGTTGTCACCTACTCCTACATTCAAAATTTGCAAGCATACCCGATCGACGATAATGTAAATTAATCGAGTAGAACAAACGTATTTGGATCACATACATTTTTGGAAAAGCAGAGGCGTTAGATGCCAATGAATCTTACAGAGAAATGGAACAAGGAATAAAACTGTGTCTTTCAATTCTATTTTCATTACAGTGGCTTCCTATATCTTCCTATAGGAAATCTGGATCGAGGTCATTCGATATACGATTTTCAAATCATGTGGATTTCGAATTTATATCTATCTCAAACAGAGAAGTAGTTACACACAGTTGGCAAACATAATATTGAAATTGGCATTTTAATGAGATTATCGGAGTTAAAAAATGACTTACGTTGACATTTCATGTTAGTCGTTTACTATAGAGCTTGTTAGTAGCTATTTATACACTGTGGATATTTCATTTGTCCTGATTTTTCATTGATTGTTCTGCATTTCTAACGACATTGTCCTGAAAATCAGAAATTCGAAGTTGGCAATCCCACTTTTCGTGTGTGTAAATTAAACTGTGTTTGAACCTAACCAGACCAACCCACAGAACTCATATATTATAATATGATTATTATAATATATGAGTTCTGTGGACCAACCATATTAGCTTTATGATGACGTCACGGTAACGTTATTATGGCGTCACGGTTTACTTGTGAAACTTGATGACAGATGTCAGTTTATCAGCTGTTCTTGTTTATTGTTTGGTTTTAGTAGTAATACTAATATATTGATGAAACAATTGTAAACTTATTGCAGGCCCGATTTGTGTGGTTAACTTCGAGAAAAAATGGCTTTAATGCACGGTTTATGGAATACTTCCATAATGTGATGTGATGCATCGCTCACAAACTCACTCACTTCTCTGGAACACCGTAGAAAAGTTGGTGATCTGGCTCTATTTTACAGATATTTTCATGGACGATGCTCTTCTGAAATATCAACAATTGTTCCTCCCTTGGCAGTCCCCGCGAGAATAACCCGTCGAGTTGAGGCTTCGCACCCCTTCATGGTCACTTTGGAGACCTGCAGAACATCTCTTTCCGAAGACTCGTTCATCCAACGAACAGCGAGGCTCTGGAACACATTGCCCGAGGCATATAACCTCCAGAAATTCAGGAAGAACACCAATTCCTACCTTATTTCCCTTGGTTCTCACGATGTTCGCTGAACATCACAGGATATCCCTTATCGTGGGTACCAGAACATAAAAAAAACCTGTGTATAATGTTCTGGATCGTTTTTGCGTCGAATGCACTGTCATTGTCTCGTCGCTCTTTTGTTTCCGAATGCGGGTGACTAGTGACGTCAATCCATGGTTATGTGCGAGCTGAATAGTCGTTGAAATATATTTTAATTAACTGGCATGTTTCACACGGTCTTTCATGCCTTCCAAGAATATCGTATACCTACAAGCATCGAGCATCAACTTGTCTGAAAGTTGATGTTCGATGTTACAAGGCAAGCGAACATTTTTAAAAGGTCAGTTTGTGCAAACAAACAAAAATTTCTCCAACGAAAAAAATATGCTTCAGGCTTCAGGTACTTCGAGCATATGGTAAAATATGATTTGTTTAAATACATTGTGTTATCGAAATAAATACTCTGCAATGTGTATTAATTTGTATTATAAGCATAAGGGGTGAATACACGCCCGCAAAACCAAGCTGTAAAGTGCTACTTTACGCCCGGTGGTGCATAAATGATATTATCTTAATTAATTTTATTTGCATTATCATCATGATGATGGTACTTTCTTCATAAATTAGCGTTCTCGCCTAGGTATTTTATGACACTCAGCATGGAAAAATGGCCCGTTTTTCTTGTCAGCTGACGTATAAGGCCGGCTTCATTAAAGAGGGTCACGCCTCCGCAGACGCTTTTATGGCTTCCACAAACCCATCGATGAGATTGTCTCGCCGGTCGGCGTCGATTTTCCCAGAATATGCCTCATC